CAATTAATAAATGTTTACTATTTGTCAGATATAATAATTCTCATTTTATTAATAAACTTTTTTCCATAATGTATGACTAAATTTGTGACTCAATTAATTAAAATGCATATAATAATAAAAGTCATTTTTAAGGAATTAAAACGTTGATTCGGTAGAGAAAAATATTGCTACTTTCTTGTTTGATAAACGTCTTCACCTTTCATAATACCATGGGAAATACATGAAACAATGTAACACTCATTTTATTTATAAATTTAATATACCCGGTAGGTATAAAGTAACTTTGGAAATGAATAATTAACACTATTTCCCAACTTTCAGATCTCATTGTGTGAGTAACTATGCTAATAAGTTACTTAAATATTCTATAAGGGATATATTAAAGTTATATTAGTATAGATAATGTTCATAAAATTATGGCTGTTTAATTTAGCAAATTGCACAAGATCAAAGCTCCAAACGGTAAAAGCCACAAGCTCCTGGTCTTGGGTATCAGGAATCGTCAATAAGTCAAACTCAAACGTATCAAACTTTATACCATCAGCCAACATCCTAGTGGGATTCACAAAGCACGATGCTGTTCTGCCATCCTCACTGCTTATATTATTAAAATAGCCATTCGGTACATCCTCCCCGATGACGTCATCGTTTTTTGATTTGGATTCTTTTCGTGCTCCTTTATACGTAGCTTTGAAGTAAGAATAGACACCACGTGACCCGCTTTCGCAAGAGGTCTTAGAATTGTACCTGGTGATGTTTCCGGTATGGGTGCTAGAAATTCTATAGGAACATCTTGTGCCTCTGAAATGCGCCTGTTTGGATTTTGTTGTGGCAGTATTGATGGCTATCATGAATGTAGATGATGAAGATTCCGAGGAGAGGAAGATCGGGGGATGATTTCCTGTTTGTTTCTCCCAAGCATACATCACCAGCCGCGCCTCTAGGATTGTGTTGTTGTTTTTGTCATTCACTGAAAAAGAATTCAAATTATCGGAGTAAAGTCAAATGTTTGATATCTGTTCAAATGAATAAAATATTTCAAAGCATTTTAACCGACACCTGAAAAGGAATGCAGTGATGAACAATAATAAAATGGGGCTGTTTTTCAACTAATAATAGAGAAAGATGTGTAAAAGAAAAAACAACTACAAAAAAGGAAGATTGTCCAATTACATTATTTTCTTAAATTGACAGACGCAAGATTGACAATATCTCTCGAAAATATAATTAAATGAATCGATTCGATATTAGAAACTTCAGAAGGAAACTTTGGACGAATAATTAAGCCATTTTAAAAATTGTTTGATTGTTGCTTTGAGTTCTCAACTAAAAATGGGAAAGATTTGTAAATATTTACATTTCCAATAAATTTCCCCTATGATTCTTTACAAAAGAAAATTGCAATTCATTTTCACATGAACTACATAACATATGTACCATGAATGAGCATGAATATCTCCATTGTTATGTCATAGTACCACACTTGATGTCAAAAAATATAGTCACACTGTTTTGCTTTAAAATGACAGTTGAATGGTGAAAAATTATGGCAAGTCATCAGAAAAATAATGTAAATATAAGAAATGAATTGAATTGGTGAAGATTCATGAGCTAAAGCGCTTCATGAAATATGCCGGCGTGAAGCGTAGTAGTTCATAACCTCATGAATCTTCAAAAATTCAATTCATTTTTTAAGGACCCTCTCTACACCAGTCAAAATGTTTTTTGGATTTTGAGAAAAATATATTCTATAAAGGTGTTAGTATTTAACTTATTTATATGAATTTTAACATATGGGGCGTGGCTTTTACCCCCAGGAAAATAATCAAACACAACTGAGTATCAGTGAATAGAAATCACTGTTCTTTACTTCCATAGAGAAAATACATGTAAATAACATGTTCAATTAATTTAACTTGGCCTTTTGAAATGTTAAGAATACCTGAATTGATTACAAATTGTGTAATAATAAACTGAATTTCTAATTTAAGAATTTAGATCTAAGGGCAGATCACTCTAACTGCAAAAAAAAATACCATAGAATCAGAACTCTTTGGTGTGCAGTGTAGAGAGGATTCTTAAATAAACTTAAGCAAATTGTTGCCTCTAAATGAGTAAAAAAAAATCAGAAAGGACGTTACGAAAAATAAACGAAGTGTAGAAAAGCATTACATCAGTGAACATTGAATTCAAACCTAACCATATTTTAATGTGCCATTGAACAGACTCACTGAATCATTCGGACCTTGGATTTTTGCTGTATGTCACAGTGAAGGTGGATATATCAAATTCTCTTGTCACTAATAATGGCTGGAAATCCACCTTCCAATAGGACCTTATCTCTTTATATGTCATTTGCAACAGTTGTCTTCATACAAGGCCATATTTCTAAAAATTAATGCATAATATAAAGAAGAAAATAAATATAAATGTCTAATTAAATAGTATAATACATGTAAGTAGTACACACAGCATTATGTTTAAACTTTATTTTCTGTGACAGGCTCATGTACTCTTAAATACAACGTAGTAAACCAAAGGAGCTTTGGATAAGAAATGTCTTAATTTCCATAGTTTTCATGTTTTTTTTCCATCACAAAGGGGAACATTTGTCTTATATAAAAGTAAAATAAGAGGTGCACAATGACATTGTGCAATGTAAAATCAATACACAGTTTAATAATTTTATTCAATGGAATGGGTTGAGTTGCAGATCAGATATGGAAACCAGACAGATATGATCAAAAAACGACAGCAGGGCTTACTCACGAGATAAAAATAACCTCTCTTTAAAAGAAAATATATTTCTGACATCGAAATTTATCTTCAGTTTAAAAAAATTCTAATAAAATGCATTTTCTTATATCTCTTATACATGTATCAAAATTCATCTTTTAGTAAATACATGTAACTTCGAATAAAATAAAAATTATATTTAGTGTACAGAGTAAATTCTATTATTAAAAAAAATCAAGACATATACTTGGCATTGTCCGTCCTTTATGATGAGATATACTCCTCCAACGGAAAGGTAAATAAAGAAATATTTTATATTGATCGGCATAGCAGAAGTTTCTCTTCCCCACCAATTCATAACAATCTGGACAGTTAGAGAATGTACATTGAAAATAAAGCATTGTAATTGTCATATTGCTTTATTAAAAGCCAAATATTGTCAAGGCATCTGACCTTTCCACAATGTTTAAATGATCGCTCACATATAATTTCCATATTGAGAACATTTGATATATATTGACTAGTAAATTTGCAATTATTTATCTTATTCAAGCAGTCTCCGTGACCTTTAACCCCCCCCCCTTTTTTTTTTTTTAAATCTTTGTGGTTGTTTATGCGAGATGAAAAATATTGTCCTCAACAAAATTTTCAAACCAAAATGACAATCTTGTTTGGAACAATAATTGATCCCGATGGTGAACCGAAATATCAAAAAAAAAATTATTACGTCAAAAATTCTATAAAACCTAACCCAATACAAATAGGAAATGAAACTCATCAAGATACACTCACATGCCAAACAACAGCTCAATATATGCAGGCGTTAAGAAGAAAATGCGAAAAACCAAGTGTGACAGACAGACAAACACAAAGGAAACATATTCACCCCTACTAATGTGTTCGGAACCTTTTATTTTTCGGTGTTCTACAAATTATAAAACCCGATGAGTTCAGAGTAGCTCTGGTAGTCGCTCTGGCGAGAGTAGAGCGAGATAGGGTAAAATATTCACGGAATTGTGGCTAGGAAGTTACTAGCACTTGGAGACATGGTAAACAGAAAAGTTATGTTGCGTTTTAGTTTTCACCACCCTATAGTATCATTCTGTAGAAATGTACTTCAGTTGAATTCTCTTGAATTCATTGAAATTTAAATTATAAGTATTATCTATGATACAATTTTCTGCTATCAAGAGTTAAAAATTCTTTTTTGACAAATGTTTTTGCCTGGGACGGGACTATATTTTTTGGCGTCAGATTAGCAAATGAGGCACCAATGTGATTTTAACTGACCTATCAGCTGAATGAGAATTGCATCATGGGTTACTACGAATACTACAGGAATTTTACGCTAGATAAATTCCTTTATTGTACTATCGGTGAATACAATTGTCAGGTGGATTCTCTGGGCAGAACACGTGACCACGAGTATAGATGTAGAAAATGTTTTGTCCATTTAAATGCATACGAGAAGCTGCTCGTTTTCCTTACCCTTGAAGTGCTGGTGTTCTGAACTTGGCACTAACTACATATACATTTTATTTAACACATTATTTTTAGTTTATAACAAATTAAAAACGCCCGTGACATCTTTCATAGTTTCTAATCTTTGCATTTTGCTCGTTAAAACATTTTTTTTTACTTTGCACTCCATTAACATGATCATAGATGACCTGAATCACGTGTTGGAAGTGAAATATTCAAACAACAGATGGTCGGTTGCTCGTGGTTATATCCTCTGTGCGCATTAATAACAATAGCCATATAAGGCAAACAAAGAATTGTCATTGTAGATGATATTACACATTTTTTTTACCAGCATATCGGTCGCTAGTGAACTCTCATTTTTGCTGTAAACTATGATAAGATATATTTTTATTTAACCCCCCTTTAGCCAACCTTTTCTGTTGAAAATCATGAAAGTCTTTTAGAAAGGACTGGAAACACATTTTTCACAGGACATGCTTTATAAAGAATTAAACGGACTATAGCAATTTCCTGTTTACTGCCAATTTTATTTATAAAACCGGTTCTACCCTATAACCTTTGAATAGGTAAAGCTTAACCACGTGTCTTGAATTTTAATCACAATAACAATAGTAGGGGTGATATTGTCCCCTCCGGTTTCACTAGTAGGAGACTTGCAGGAATGCGTAGATAACGCAACATATATAATAGTTTGATGTGACCTCATATGAGGACAGATAAAATCTCCCATACTTGAAAAGGTGCAATACAGAATTATACGTTCTCATTTTACAATAGGCATGAATATCTACGTGTTTCTCATTCTTTTCTCTGGTTTGTCCTCTGTTTTTGGTAAAGACGATTTGGATCAGGAAAATGTTTTACAGTTTGTGTTGAAGGAATTACAGTCTCTGCGTTCTCGAGTTTCTGAGTTAGAAAACATTATCGGAAATCAGAATGAAATTATCGTTGACCAAAATATACGAATAAACCAGCTGGAGAAACTAACCTCGATTAAACACCCTGGTGACAAAGCTGTTACAAAATCGAAATCGATGGTTGATACTGCAGAACTTATGAAGCAGTTCAGTCCAGTGCAATCTAATAAAACACGTGTTGGATTAAATAGAATCACTTCTGCAGGGCACGTGAATGATAACAAAAGGATCAGGAGGGGTTTGTTTTCAATTCATACAAGTATCATACTAAAAACCTTGACAACACCTGTCGTATTTTAGATAACCAGCCATGGGTTAACGTTGATAGATACTTTTTAATAGCCTGAATTGTGCAAGAGTTACCACTTGTAGGCCGCCAAACTGGAATTCGAGTCGGTGATTTCTCCTCTTTGTCTTACCAAATTTAAGAAGATATAGTAGAAATATTTAGTGGAAAATCTTTGAGAAATAATTTTTTAAATAAATGTGTCTTCCAAAAATATACATATCAGAAAAATAATGGTTCCTATCCCAGAATAGCAAATACAAAAAGTTAAAGTTGGGTGAACAATGAAGGAATATGAGCATTTAGAGCTCCAATAAGGCGGCTAACGGGAAATAACTCTTGCTTAATTCTGGCCTATCGAAAACCATCTATAAAGTTCACACAAAACATGGTTCGCTTTTATTTTCACCTGGTCACAGATTTTTAAAAGATTCATTTTTTCATCTACAGAAGCAGCTAGAATTCTAGAGGTGCAGCCAATTGCGTTTTATGCTTACATGAGTGGCACTTTGAATACCCCTGGTGGACATCATACTCTGATTTTTGACACTGTCAAGACGAATCAAGGCAACGGATACCATCCCCATGTCGGGGTTTTCATCGTCCCTAAGTCTGGAACCTATTTCTTCACATGGACAATGTCTCTCGGACAATCCTCCTATCACTCAACGGAACTTGTCCTTAATAATGTCCCTAATGGCGCGATTTATATTCACACAAATGCAGGCCAGCGTGATAGTGCTACTGGAAACCTCATCCTTACTGTGAACACAGGAGATGAAGTCTTTATTCGCACAAGGCATGATTACAATTCTGGCATCATCTTAAGTGATGAATACAGCAGAACGGATTTTTCTGGATTTCTTATCGAATAACCTATGTTTTTAAGCTCAATAACATGTATACGATTGTAGATTAAAATTTGATAATATTTGTTGCGATATTTTTTTCTGTTATAATTTAAGTGGTAACTCACAACATTGCTGGGTATTAGAGGATATTTCTGTCTAATTCTGCAGCATTTGCGAATTTTCTGTTGAAAAACAGATTTACATTTCATCAGAGTAATTAATATTTAAACTGAATTTTATGATTCAAGTTATTCATAGTGTTTATACTGTAGATTCAAATGGCTAGATGGCTTTAAATTGGATACCAAAAATATACAAATAGTACAATGAAAATAGTATTTGGGTAAGGAGGAATAGATAAGATACAAAAGACAGAAGTGGGACTTGAACTCATATATAGTTAGATAAAACAAAGGTGCGAACCAGGAATGCACTATTCTACCTGTAAGGTTGGAGGAAGTATGATATAGTTTACGTGCTCTTCCTGCTTTTCGTTGGTTTGTCGGCTGCTTGTGATAATGATTTTAATTACAATAACGATCTATAGATTCTGATGCAAGAGTTACAATTCTTACGTACCCGGATGTCAGTGTTAGAAAATACTACTGGAAATCAAAATACAATTATCCAGATACAAGGTATTCGGCTTACTCAGCTTGAAGAAATAGTTAGGTCTGAAAGTTTCGGTGCTGATTCTGTTCAAAAGATAATCAAAGATACGATCACTGATGAACCTGAGCCTACGAAGCTGCATTAAAATCATACAGACATTCGATTAAATCATAACAGCGTTCACCTACCTGGTGTATGAAAGGGAAACCAAAGGAAGAGGAGAGGTTTGTTCAATACATATTTTGAAAATACATTTTATGCAATATAAAAAGTCTTAGAACTGCTTGTTTATTTTATTTTCTCTAAAAAATGGCACTTTTATTAAAATAGAAACTGAAGACTAAGTTCCAGATACTCTTCTTTTTGAAAATGAAATTGGATCTTTATAACAAGGAATTGAGACTAGCATGTAGAACACTTAACCTAGCTTATGCAAAATTACACCTTCTGAAAACCTGTAATTCTATAGAACAATCCTTCGTATATTTATCATTTAGTTAAAATTTTAAAGTACAATTTACTTGTGCATCATAAATGCACACAAATATATTTGTCTCCTCCGTACAGATTCAACCGGAATCAGGGCAGTACAACCCATTGCATTTTATGTTTACATGAGCACCCCCTTAAATAACCCTGGCGGTCATCATTCTCCGATTTTGACACTGTCAAGACGAATCAAGGCAATGGATACCATCCTCATGTCGGAGTTTTCATCGTCCCTAGGACTGGTGAAGACCTATTTCTTCACATGGACACTGTCCCTCTGGACATCCTCTAATCATGGTGCAGAACTGGTTGTTAACAATGTCGCTTGCGGCGCGATATATGTCGATACTTCTGACCGGCGAGACGGTAATACCGTTTTTTGTAATTTTTTGTAATCTTTGTGGTAAGACTTTTCATGAGATATCAACAACTTTGACCTTTTGACCTTGACCATGGAGATTCTCGTTCTTATAAAAAATCTTTAATCTTGGCCATAACTTTAAAACAGTAAGGGCTAGGGCATTCATACTTCACAAATGTAATCCTTGTGAGAAGACCTTTCATTGGATACCAACAACTTTGACCTTCTGATCTTGAACTTGGAGTTTGGCCCATTTTTTAAAAACCTTACCCTTGGCCATAACTTTTAAAGGGTTAGGCCTAGGGCTTTCATTCTTCAAATATTAAATCCTTGTGACAAGTCCTTTCATTGGATATCAAGCACTTACACCCTTTGATCTTGAACTTGAAGTTTGACTTACTTTTTAAAATGTGGGTGCTGTGCAGTTAAGAAAAGTTTAATCTTCGCTTTGTTGCCGTACGGGGTCATCAGTGATTCACAAACGCATTTTGTTCCTTTTAAATTTTGATTGAGAAAAGATAGGGCTTTCATATGACTTATATGCCTTGGCCTTCACGATTGACCTTTGGTGTCGGAATTTTTTGTTGTAAAATTGTAAACAACTATTTCAACGACAGAAAAAATAACGTTAATAAATTTTTGTTGTTCATATTTGCGATGAAACAACTATTGTTAAACTCGATTGAACCAAATTACATTATTGTCGTCCTGTACAATAATGATTTCTTATATAAAACTGTATATTTGACTGTATTTAGAAATCTTTTTTCTGCTTTATTTTAGTCTAATTGGTCATAAAGGTTTCAGTTAAATACAAATTTGTCATAATTATAACACAATTTTACAGCAAAATAAAATTTTTAAAAATGCAGCTCATATTGCTTTAAAAAGAAAAATCAACTTTGGTGATAATATCTAAATGACACATTATATGGCGTTCATGTTTGACATCTCACCCACATAGACACGGAAAGCCGGAGACCACAATTCCTTGAATTTGCTGGTTTGATTTATAAATGTGAGACTATTTTTGTGGCAACCTCGCACACTACCATTAGTAATGAAGAATTACATATCTGAACAAAAATGGTGCGCAGTGCACAGCTAGAAATTGGTTTCGCACAAGGTCATTCATGGGTCTTTTCATGGTACCAAGACATTTGTCAGTCAAAATGTTTTGGAAAGAATGGCACATTATATGCACTAGTACCGATCTGGCAAATTTTCAATCCACAAACAAAAATTAACAATTGGTACATTAGCTATTTTGTCTTGTGTACCGAGTATAGAATAATATCTTTAGCCAAGTAATTTTTAAATAAAAGTGGATAAAATAGAATCCTTCGAGAAACAGCAAAACAATAATTGATCATATGAACATGAAGGCATCCTTTATTTGTGTAGTTTGTACAAAAAGTTTGGTGGAACATCAATGGATGATTAGGAAAACACAGAAAGAAAAAAAAAACTTTCAAAAATTTCTCAAGAGAAGCAAAGCTACAGCATTTGTACATGACTGTATAAGATATGTGTAAAAGTAAATCCATCTTATGATTTTTAAACTAGGTTCTTTTAGTATATTTCTTTAATTGGGCAATTTAAGATAAAGAACATCAACTGGTATCTTGCACACTGCCTAGTAAAGTTCCACCATTTTTCGTGATTTAACATGTTCAAGTGACAAAATCTTAGAAAAAAATTATTCGAGGGTTGTTCAAAAATAAGTGGACTACTGTCATTTTTTTTTTATTTGACGGCATATGGGATCCACATTTTGTAGAAATATTTTCATCATAAATCCAAAGGATTTGTATTATTTCCTTCTTTTAAATACCACGATTCTTTCAAAACTTATCCAGATTTTGAAAATGCACAAATCGGATCGCAGAGCAGATCAAAATTTAGTAAGTGACAAACAATACACTAGATAATTTCTGTAGTCATATTCTCTATAAATTGAAGTAAAATCGAAAAACAACCTAAAAATTTCAATTTAGAATAGTTACATCGATTTGTTTTCCAAATTATGACTTAATATTTTGCCTTTAGCTTGAAAAGATAGGTGGTCCTCATTGAAAATGACAAAGACGCTAACGATACAGGTTTGACTTATACTCAGGAAAACTCGTGAATAAACTCACAAAATGTTGAAGGAATCAAAATATTATATCACAAGCGAGTTGTGCAAGTGTGTACAAATAGCAAAGACAGTATTTGAGTGACAAAGACTCTGTATCGGATGTGGAACATCTGAAAAGAAACGCTTTAACAATGAAAATCTAAACAAAAAGTTGGAAAGTCAAGGAAAGACATAAGCGTTCTAGAGTTGCTTACCCTGTAAAAGCATAGTGAACTAATAAAAGAAATTATACAACGAGAGCAATTCTTAAACCTGAAATCTCTGATTGGAGTTTAGCTCTACTGGTCTGTAGTACCCTGTGGTATAATAAAGGAAAAGAAGCTTTCCAACAGGCAGTAATAAACAGAATTATGTATCTTTGTGTTGTCTACTTGTGTGCCTATTTACATTGAAATCAGACCAAAACTGTAGAAGCGTTTTAAAAGAACTTCACAGAAATTTCTATTTTTAGTAACCATGGCAACACCAATCATCGAAAACAAAAACTGATGCACTTTATTATGTTTCTTAGTATAGTCTACTTGTGTGCCAAGTAATATTGAAATCAGACCAAAACTGTATGAGAAGCATTTTAAAGAAAGTCCACAGACATTTCTATTTCTAGAATGAGCTAAATATAAAGGTCAAGAATTAAAAAAAGGATTTAATGAGTGAGTATTAGATTATACTTGGGGTAATGAAAAGGAATAGTATATTGTAGAATTAATTCTTGAAACTATATTTATATAGTGCCGTTAAGTGTGTTCCATGTAAGGTACAAAACATGTTGATTTTAAATGAAGTAAATTGATCTATTTTAAATCGAATAAAATGAAACTTCACACATCAGATAAACAAATATTTTTTTTACATATTGTATTTATCTAAAATTTCTAGTGAGTAATATAACCAAGATTGACATCGTTCACAAACTTTTCGAACAACCCTCGTATGATTCAGAAACGTGTTGCTTGTCATTAAACTTTTAAAAAGTCTTTCATGGCTTCAGTTATTATGTGCTTTTTAACCTCTTCAACTTTCATTTAGATTTAAAAATATTTCTAATATATGTAGTAGATGAAAAACTGAGGAACAAGAAGATCCCCTGAGAAGAGGTCAGTAAGGTAACAAGGATGGAGAAAAAGGAAATATCCAGGAAACTGTCTATACACTGTAATATCCAGACCGATCCCGTCAAACAAAACAGCTTGGTAAAAATAACCATTTCTGACGTGTTTTCTTTTGACTTTTGAATATTTTTGTCAAAACTTATATTGAACACCGTTAGAATAAACAAGATCATGTTAGAAAAACAAGTCATCAGAAGAGGAGTTATGAATGTGACGATGTTTTGGATGGAGTTTTCAACGAAACATATCTTCATACCATAACCGATACCGTCGTCTGTTAAATAAGAAACTGTTATGTTCAGGATTATAATGATCAATGGAAGCACATAGCAAAACAGAAT